GTGACCCCCTCATCCATGCAGGAAGTCAAGCAAGGCCCAGGCCAGAGGTGGCTTGGGGACAGCCACCTCCAGCCTCCAATAGCCGCCACCATGTATCAGACTGTGACTCCAAGTATGATTTTCTGTTTCTGTCATAATATGGCCCCAAATTTTCACATTTTTAAAAATTATTATCAGTTTTATCCAGTCTGGTATTTTGATTGAAAGTTCATTAAAACTATGTATAAATTTGAAAAGAATTGACACCTTTATAATAATGAGTCTTCTGTAAAGTTCCTGGACCACTAAAAAATAATGGATTACTACCATACACTTGAAAGGGATGATCCTTATTCTCCTCTTGATTAGGCCAGTGAAATGTGCAGATTCATGGCAGCTAGTCCAGAACTAGCTAATAATAGTCAACTTCTAATTTTCTCCTTTAGGACAAAAAAAAAAAAATGATATCCTGCCGGAGACCAGCTCCAGTCGAGTTGGGGGTCTTTGAAAGAGGGATGGAAAGGCGGACAGCCAAAGCAGCTAAAGCAGCTGAAGCAGCCTTTAGACTGAAAACAGCATTTTTATTTGTTACACAACATGGGGGAGTTAATGTGGGCATTTTAACTACATAAACCTTTAAAATTATTAAGCTAATAGTTAAACAGAAACTTTTCTTAAAATTACATCAGTTCTCATAAAATTAATAATCTACAAAGTTAAATAAAACTCAGTGGTCAGCCAATTCTTTCTGGTGATTATATCTGTTGTGGTTGATTAGTCCATGACTTGCTGTTCTTGACGTTCTTTACCATTGTGTTTCTTTTCTTCTTGTCCTCATATTAACCTTAAACTTATTACTACCAGCAAACAAAAATTATATGTCTGACTCAAAATTGAGACAGCAGTGATTGTGGTTTCAAAGTGTTAAACAAACCTTATATATATTTTTAACTTTGATTTAATGATTCTCATATTTCTATAGGCATGGACCTATTGTTTATTAAGAAAAGGAATAAAGGATATTTGAACAGCTTTATCATGCTTGTACTTAATATAACGGCTGTGTGGCCCAATGTAAAGTGTCAAAGTACACAGCACCATCCTTCACAAAACCAGGTGCATTCTAAATTCCATCTATAATCTTTATTTTTAGGAGGGAAAGTTGTGCATCATATGTTTTTGTCCCAATATCTTACTAAGATGTTTTCTTTTAACTTAGGACACCAATGAGTAACAGGGTTTTTACACATTCTTTCTCATAAACTTAATTCTTTTTATAGTATCTTTTTCCATTAATTCCAACCATTCTCTTACCATTAATATAATCCCCTGTAAATGACGTTTTCCAACTTAAGTCATATTTAGGACGTCCCTTAGGAGGGTACCAAATTTTTCCTTTTTCCATTTTTTAATCTATATAACCATTTACCTAGATGGTGGGAAGAAGATGGGGATTTCTGTTGTTTATTAATTTCTTTGGTAAAAACAATTGCTCATGGCTATTCATAAGGTGTTTTTAAAACATCCATTGGTGTAATAAATAGACTCAAAAGGGACAATTTGGAATTGTC